TAAATGTGAAACTTTTAAACAAAATCTGTGGGAATCCTTTTATGAACTCTGACTTCAATCAGATTTTAAATAAATTCTCTACCAATCATTCTGTGCATTGGTTTAACTTCTTATTTTTTTGTTTTTTTATTCTCCTTGCCCTTACACTCACTTTTTTTCTAATTTGCAACTTCAGAATATAAATCAAAATGCCACTTTAGTTTAGAGGAAATAGACACTGATAACAGTAGCTGCACACAGGAAGGAAGACATTGCTTTTGCTACGTCAAATTTCACAGTTTTACATAACATAGCAATACCTGCCACACTGGAATTATTCCCATGATTTTAATCTTTTTATGTCCTCCATGGATAGAATATCTAACTTTTTCTCATTTAATCCCCCCCCCGAAGCCCAGTCTATTTCTAGTTCTCCTCCTAATTTTCGTTGTGCTCCTCCGTCTATTCCCTCAACTTCTGGTTAACAGAGTAAAAGCAATAACACACCAATAACAGCTTCTACACCCCTCATCATCTCCTTTCCTCAGCCTATAACTCTCCTCCATCGCCCTTCCTCCATCCTTGCTCTTCTCTTGTCAGGTCAAAGCCCACTTGTTCCCTCCCTGCCCCTGCAGCTAATCTGACTGATGGCTCCACCTCTCTCCCTATCTATTCTTTCCCTTTTTCTTTCTTCTGACAAACTGGGGCTCCCTTCAAGCACAAACAAGCAGTGATGGATTAGACACCCATACTGGGGGAGTAGAAAAATTTATTTTCTGACTCCCCCACTTACAAAACATGTTTTCGTACCACTTGTAGCGAACTGTAATTACTGATGAGGCAATCAGGTCGATAAATAGTGTGGAAAAAAAAGAAAACATTTTTCAGATCTATCTTATAGGTTTGGGAGTCTTGATGGTTCAGCAATTCATTTTATCTGTTCAAACAAGTAGTGAGCTGGATCTTCCCTCTGTCATTTCTCTTTAGATTTCTTTCTTATCTAATTATGCATTATATATATTTTTTTCTTTTTTTTCTCTCTCTTCAAGGTCAATTGAATCTGTTGAAGCTTTATCAGTAAAGGAAGCCTGTAGAAAAAAAGAAAATAAAACCTCAAAATGTTTTGCACTTAAAAGTCATTCAGCTGACACTGGTTCTGTATAAATCTGTTTGTCTGAGCATATTAAGCAGAACAGATATGAATTCCATTTAAAAAATGTGTTTGTTTTCTTGGTGGTTTTACTTTTGTACTATTTTCTTAATTTGAGCTGAGTTTGAAATTAAACCCTACCACTAACACTGGCAATAAAACAACCACAGAGGATGATGCTGCCACTACCATGCTAGACAGCTGGGACAGTGTATCCTTGGTTATACAAGATTTGCCTAAACTCTGCCCAACATGCTCCTTGTTAGTCGTTAGTAGTAGTAGACAAAGAGCTCAATCTTTGCCTCGGTTGATGATAACATTTTACTCCAGGAGTTGTTGGTAATTGCACATTTCAATTGACCTTGTATGTGTATATCTTTGCGCAAAGGCTTCTTTCAGGTAATTTTAAAATGCTATTTTGTGTTTTAGCATGCTCTAACCCTGGCAATATCATTACGCTGCTAATAGAATAACTCAGAGCATTTCTACAGCTTGATCATTTAAGTGAGTCATAATAGCACATTCTCTGGGGGAGTGTTTGTGCATAGTGACAGAGACAGACAACAAGAGTGATGCAATTTAAAACAACAGCATTCCTAAACTGGAAGCATAGAAACATTTTTAAGATTGCTGAAGTTTAAGGACATTTTTCATTTTGTCTTATGCCTCCTCTCTCTTCTATAACAGAGTTTTAACTCAGTGCTTTTGCAGTTAAAAATTAACATGAAAGTTTATATCATCTTTATTGCTGAAAAGCATTATTTTTAGATGTTAAACCTATTTTATAGACAGCTGTAGCATGTAAATATCCATGAATATAATGTATTTTGCAAATCATAGATGTCTTGACTTACGTCTCCCACCTACCAAAGTTAAAGGTAAAGAGGACGATCTTTTATTTTCAGGTGGATGGTCAAAATAAGTGGTCCTCCTAATTGTTAATCATTCTGGTGATATGTTTACATAAGGCCGTTCTACAGGTTTTTTAGTTGCATTTATTTTTTTTAAGTGGAGAGGGCGGGTCTTTTCAAAAATGTGAATATTTCATCCATTTTACTAATTCATCAATGAATGAACTGATATTAAAAATGTTATATTTATCAACTGAACTTGTATTGTAGAGTAGTGATAACAGGAAAGCCCTCTAGATATAGTAGAAATTAGTGATATGAAAGTGCTGTAAATGTGTTAACAACTAGGTAACTTTTTGGGAGAAGTAACTAGTTGCTAGTTGCATTTTAAAACTTTATACTCTAGAGCAAAAAATTACCTATATTAACAAATTTACTCCTTCTTATATTATTCCCCAAACAATGATCCTTAAAAAAACAAACAAAAAAAAAACATAAAAACTGGCTTTTGTTTGGATATAAAGATTCTGGCATTTCCCTGACGACACACACAAAGTGTTTTTGAACTGACATGAATCTTATTGGAATTCATATGTCCAATAATAAATGTTGCAGGACCCTGCTAATGCTAATAGATATTAGTGGGGATGTGTTGTACGTATGCTATGTGTCTAAGCTTGCTTTTTCCTATGCTTTCTAGAATGTGAATAAAAAATAGATACAGTAGATGTCTGTGTTTGTCTTTGTCTAACCGTCTATTCTCCCTTCAGGATCATTGCATACTGTTCCTGACACGTCCTGTCTTTCCTCTTTAGGAAACTTTTATGGGTCCTGCCTTTTGTTTGAAGCATAACTAAAACTTTAACACCCAGACAAAAACAATTGGGAAAAAAATAACTAGAAATATTTTACTGTCTCTACCAGCAGGCCACAGAAACGTGCATGTTTCCAGTGTTGAACCCTTCTTGCATTATTCTCCTCAACAGCAGCAACCACAACAACGAGGAAAGCAGCAGTAACCCACTGTGAATCCTTTCTTGTGAGATAGAGTCACGTCTGCACTGTCTGACCTTCTACTTCACTGCTGTTTGAATAACTATGGTTCACTGAGGCTCGACTTGTTTCACGCTGGCAGCATCTGCAACCAGAAGTCCAAAGATTGAAAGTGAGACATGTAAACATGAACAAAGCCACTCTAACACCAGGAGGAGAAAGGTAAGAGAACTCCAATCCACCCTGTCTGGTGAATCCAGCCATGAGGTGATTGCAGACCAGATGCTTTTCTCAAAACAAAACTAAGTGGGAAGTTTTCAAAAACAAAAACTATGTGGGTCAACAACCTCAGACAAATGGTAAGAAGTAGAGACAAGTAATCTGAAAAAAAAGCTTAATCAAATCAGTTTTTTTACTAAAATAAATGGTGAGAGAAAGTTATTGTTGAAAGATTACAATGATACTCCAGCTTAATATTTGTCACATCCAATATGGAGACACATTAGTAAAAGATGCAATTATAAAATGAAAGAAAATGGAACTTCTTTCATTTACATCCAAAAAACACCCTGTCGCCATAATGAAACATGGTGGTGGCAGCATCATGCTGTGGGGATGTCCTTATGGAACAGAGGAAAATTGTAATGGGAAAACGTCCTTACTAGTGCAGCATTGGCCAAGCCTCATGCACATGGCTTCAAACACACAGGAAGAGTAGCAATTGATGCATCAAAGCGTTTTGTTAAATCTAATTAGCATCTGTGGTTATTAATTAATTCACGCCACGTTCTGTTTTTTTTGTGTTTTTTCAAAACACTAAGATATTTTTACAATTTTTCCCCCCTATAAATTGATGAACTATTGTGCTGATTAATCACATCAAATCCAAATGAAACCCATTGAGGTTTGTGACTGTAATACAGTGAAAATTGTGAAAGGGTCTGCGGGTAACCAATACTTTAGCAAAGGTTTATGGGACTTGTAGTGTTTCAGTTTGACAGAGCGTGGCATAAACAAAACACGGGCAGCATTCTTGACCCAAAGTGTAAATCATCTGTTTGCGGGATTTGCGGTTTGTGTGTTTGTGTGCATGTGGTGCTGAAGTGTATTCAAAAAACAAATTTATATGGAGCCTTATCAGATGTGCAAAACGTGGCCACGGGCATGCTGGGTGGAAATGTTTATGCTTCTAACAAGTCCGAACTGTTCTGTGTATACAGACGAGCCGAGACCTGCACATGTGTTTTACCAAATAAAAACTTGTATTTCTTACAACTAGTGTGCTTTCAAGTGCTTCCTAATTTTTGCATGTGTGTTTGTTTAAGAGCTGGCCTACATGAAAGGGCACACAATTTACCGTTCATGAGTTAAGGTACCGCATAAACAAACTAATCCACTGTACGAGGCTCTCTGTTTACTCCGAAAGTCTTCTGTTTACGTGAATAGCTGAGATAAGACTAGCCGCATGCCAGTCTACTTTTTTTTTTCTGCAGGCTTGGTTCTCCATGAGTTGGGAAGAAAAGGTCATGTGAGATCATTGCAGAAGATGTATGTGGGACCATAACATGAAGGTCAATGCAAGCATTCAGGCTACATTTAATTGTATATTTTACATCCTAATCTTTTCCACCGCTGTAAACTGTCATGTATATGCCTTTTTGCACATATTTCTTCTAGCACTGGTGTTTTTGTCCACCCGTTATTAAACCACAAAAGGCAGCGGCCTGTCTTTCTATTAAGGGAATCCTTCAAAATGAATGAAGATTGTTGTGTCCAGTGAGCAAGGTAACCAGGGGTGAAGCAGAACCACAAACACAAGGTGACCAGCCATCTTTCTCGTCTCGGTTGTAACGATAAGAAATGCTTCTTAAAACACCAACAGCATAAACACAAACACACACAGACTGGCTGAACTTCTGAGCCCAATTCCTGTCCTATGAAGCAGTCAGTGGCTGAGGTCCAGCTGTTGATGTAACCCTAGCTGCTAAGGTCTGATTGTAATGTGTTTGTCTTTTGTCTTTACTCACGCAGCTGGTCGAAATGTGTCTGCAGGCCGTCCGGTCCTGGAACTGAGCACACCATACGGGCCTTCTGGAAGGTGCTCCACTTATTCACCAAACTCCTCTGACCACCAATGTCATTCTGCATGAGAAGTTAAAAGACTCTAATTAAAATCAGTTCATGTATCTACCAAGGAAACATAGTTTTAGGTTAAAGTATTTTGAATTTCTGGACAAATAATAAAACAAGATTATAACCGCACAGTTCATCATACATAAATATAACTTATGCACAACTTTTCATTGGTTTCCTATTTCATCCAACATTAGAATGTCCTAAAAAACTTTAATATTTGTTGTTTCTTATTTAAGAAAGTAAAGCTATATACACACCATATAAACAAGTTCTTGTAATGTTGATTAATTAAGGCTTACAGAAAACTAAAACCCCTAATTCTATTTGTTAGACTAAATTTTAAATGACTTTGGTAAACATCTGCTTTTTTAATGTACTTCATAAGTAAATTCATTCCAACATTTTTTCCACCAGAAAAATTATTACATTTTTTTTAAGGTCTCATAATTTCCAAAAGAGCTTTAAGCTGAAAACTTTGCCCACTAAACTGCTGAAGGGTCAGACAAATACTATTCATCTCACTAACATAGGTTTCAAGTTAATTTTCATAGAGCTAATCTTTCCATGTTTCTCTTTTTCTTTAGCATACACTGCACAATGTACCTTAATGAACAAAAAAAAAATAAAAGAAAATGAGCAAACAAGTTTAATCACTTTTTTTTTTAGATCTTTAGAAGGCCTTTAAAATTTAAAAAGAACGTTTGAAGATTTCAAGTTTAAATGAATAGAAAATTCAGTTTAAAAGACTTTGAGTCCAAAATAATATGTGTAGAAGTCCCAGACAAGAAGAAGCATTGTGGTATGAAAGCAGGCATTTCATTCTGATTTATTCCAGTAGAGTCATGAGATCGTTAAAACTTTTACAGACCAAATGAGTTTCAAAGCTAAACCAATAAAAAAGCTGCCAGTCGTTAACATATACTTTTAAATCCAATCCCAGTTTTACAGTGAACCAACAGACTGAAGTTGGAAACAAACCTTCAATTCTCTATAAACAAACTTCAGACAAGCCAACAGGGACCTTCAGTTGGAAACAGAGTTAGTGACTTCAGCACAGACACACTAACCTGCACGTATGCATTCACAGGCAAAAACTCCATGTAGACAACCGCTGATTTGATCTGGTTACTATCTTAACAGGCATACCTTGCAAACGCGTGCCACTCTGGAGTAGAGAACCTTCCCAGCCGCCCCCTCGGCCTCCTGGGCACGCTCAGTGAAGAACACGTAAACTTTATCATCCTCTGGGTTATCAGTTTCAGACAGTGGCGCTACCCGCACAAACTGGGCATCTGGCGACACACATACACAAAGACACCCAAATTACAGCGAATCAACTGTGTGACAGTGCAGTGGTGTGCAGGAAGACACACACAGCAAAGGGACGATAAAGGTAGAGGTAAGTTTACAGAGAGCAGAGATGATTGGCAGTATCGGCAGCAGACATCAGTGTACCGGTCTGATAAAACACCAACCGGGTGAACAGGATGCTTTTAGAGATGCTGATTTAGTTCATTTAATATTTAAATGAGATTAAGAGATGAAGTTGTAGAAGATGTTCGTTGGATCTGATTCAATAAATCCTTAGTGAGTTCAACCAACCAAATGGTGAGCTTTCCTTATTTTTAATGCTGTTGATGTCTTTTCAGTTTCATATGTCGTTTACACTTTCACAAATTTTCTTTTGTCTGTTTCGATAGAGGCACATTCACCAACATGTGGCAGATAAACTGGGATATGTTTAAACATGACTGCTAGCCGCGCCGTTAGCGTCATGATCAGATTAAACTTCATTTGTGGCCTCAGTAGGTGTAAAATGAAAATGCACATGAAGTGAAGCAGGAATATTTCTGCAGTCACTACTGCAGTTTTCATTTGTTTTCAACAGAGGAGCAATCAGGAGAAAAAAAAAACTTTAGCAATCACTAAAAACCCACAATTTTGGTTTTGTTTTAAATATTGAGAGGAAAATTACATACGTAACCGACAACCAGAAAAGAACTGGATCTCAAGAAAAAGTTTCGCCACATGCATCGTTAAGATAAAGGTGTTAAACGTGTAACAGTTAACCTTTTTGCAGCTCTGTTTATTTCACAAACAGGTGCAGAGATCACACATGTAATTCACCCCAAGCATCATGGATACAGTGAATTATTTCAGGCAAGGTCTCTTCAACAGAAAGCTAGAAAAGAAGCTGACTTTTATATATTTTATAAGACCGACTCACATACTAACTTGTTTCTGAAAGTTAACCTCACAAGAAAACCGGTTAAACTCAGTAACTAACTCCATGTTGTAAAAGGTTTTCCTCCACTCCCTTTGGATTCTAAAATGTGTTTTGGATCTTTGGTCTTTGGCACTTACCCTGCAGCCAGGTGGAATCGTACTGCTCTGTGCGGATGACATGTCGACTCCCGAGGCTCCGGAAGAAAGCAGAGTCTCTGCTCATGAAATCTGAGGTAATCCCAGCGTACAACTCTCCATCTACAAAGCAAAGCCATTACTTAGGATCTAACAGCTTTTCAGCAATGTATGATGATAAAAAAAGCATTTTTACAGAGCATATCATGGTCCTCCTGTGGCAAATGATGAATTTTTCCCATACATGGGTTTTTCTTTTGCCTCCTACTAAGAAAAATGCGTCCAACTATCTAAAAAGCCTACGAAAAATAAGAGGAGGAAATACTTTGAGGAATGTTTAAATGCAGCAATTTTTAAAAACAGTCCCTAGCTTGCCTCTGTAAAGATTACTCCATCCCCCCTCCTGTAAAACTGTTTTTTCTTAGATTGAAACACCAATTCAACCTCTGAATGTTTTTTTATATATATGTTTGTCCCTTGAAATAATTAGAAATAATTATCACCATCATCCAAAACCCAGAGTCCTGTTGTAGTCCTGCACTAATTTACAGTTCTGAATAGATTGTGATTCTAAAAGTAAAATGATCTTACCGTCAGGAATGTCTCTAACGTTTTACTTTGTCAAAGAAATTTCTTTACAAGATTTTTTTAAAATCACGATTTATAGAGATACCTTGTCTCTTTTCATACTTTATTTTTAACTCAAACCCTGTAGTTTTAACCCTATATTCTGATGAGTTGTCCCTCTGTATTTTCCTCTCCATAACTCACCAGTCATTTTTCAAACAAAAATATTTCCAAAACAATACTTTTTGCTTTATTTCTGCAAGCTTACTCCTGCAACAAGTGTGGGAGGGGCCGTGATGCTACCGTATTGTCTAAATACCTGAACAGAAACTCCTTTCACCCCAAAACCTCCTCATAAAAAGGAATTCATATAGCAGGAACAATATCATAAATGAAATGGAAGCAGCACAAACTTATAGCGTTATCATGACAATGGGTACTTTGAGAAAATGAACATTACCAACAACAGCAGAAGCTGTTTTCTGGAAGGGGTCGTAGGGGCATTTTCCCTTCCCACACTCTGTCCGACCATAGGAGAGCGTTTGGTACTCTGCCTGAAAAAGAAAAGCCACACGGACATGATTAAAGGAGATGAATAAACCAAGAGTTTTGAAGAAGTCCTTTTTACAATTTCAACATAACCCTATTCATTCAAACATGAGCTCCAAGAACAGCGAAGCTAATTCAACACACATGGCTGCTATTCATGCACACAAACACACACAGAGAGCAGCAAACAGAGGCTAATCAGGGCATAGGCAGAGATTGTAAAATGTGTGAAGTCCAGACTTAAACCAGTCACCAGCTTCTCTAAGAACCATGTCTGCTCTGATCTCACATGGCCTTTTATGGGATTAGCTGCTCTCTGACACACATGCACCATCAAACACACAAGCAAAAGAATGCGCACCAACATGTGCATTTGAAACTCTGAAGTCATACATCACATAAAGGTTTAAAAAACTAAAACATTTCCTACAAGTTATTATCATGATATCATGTATTATTTTATATAATGTGTTCTTTGTGTATTTTGGAAAATTAAGCACAAGGGTATGGTTCTGTCTTCTCAACATACTTTGTATTTGACATTTAAATGTCAACCAAATCTCAGGTTTCTGGTGGGCCACACAGAGTTGTCATATTTTTTGAGCGGATGACATAAGGAAACCCTGATGTGTTATGTGAGCATAGGGGAAGACACCACAGATGACATTTCAGCAGTTCATGATCCTTCATATGGGGGCTCATTTCACAACTAAGATGGTGGCAAGTAAGATCAGAGACCTACCTACAAAAAATATGCAGTTAAATTCCACTTTTTAAGGTCTTTTCAAATCATAAATATAAATTAATTAGTAAACTCACAGGCATTTCGAACCTGTGATTTTTTATTTTTTTTTGTCCTGTTTCAACTAAGAACAAATCTTTTTTAGAAGAACAGAAAAAACTCAGAGTAGCACACTATTTATCTTTGCAGACTGCTTTTACAGAGTGGCATTAGAAGCAGAAAGTAATTTTTCCTTTTTTGTTTCAATAAGGTCCGGACAATTTCTGAGACATTTTTACTTAATAAGAAGCGATAAACTAGATGGATGCCTACTTAGAGGCATTGTGGTTCATGCAAGAAGTGTTCATACAAACCCGTTCTTTTCAAGACAGACAAATTTTTCTCCTACTTTTAATCTTCTCCCAGGTACGAAAACGTTAAACCAGTGTTCCAGACTTGATGTAAGAGTCTTGTGCAATCAGTCAGCTGTTATCCAAACCTAGTTTTTCACTAAATAACTACATTTGTTTTGCTTAGAGGCAACTGTCTTTTTTAGGCTACATTATTGTATATTAAGCAAATAAAGCTGGAGTACCCAGAGAGAACCCACACAGCCTCAGGGAGAACATGAAAACTCCATGCAAAAATGCCCCAGGTCAGGAATCGAACCCATAACATTCTTGCTGCAAGGCAACACCGTCACTGCTCTACTGTGCAGCCGCATTTACAGTTCTTATTATTATTTATTCACCACTGCTTGGCTGTTTACTGGTCCTTTAATTCTGCTGCTCAGCTTTAAGTCAGCAGAGCCTCAATCTGCAAACCTTTACATTTTGTCTTCTTTGTTTGAACCTGCGTGATCATTCATTGAGGCGTGGGAATTCATAGAAATGAATAATGAGAAGTAATTATGCAGATTTACATTTAGCGGGAATGTGTGCTCACTTACCCAGGGGGCATGCATCACGTTTAGGAAAATTATTCACAGTGATTTACGGAAGTTAAGAATGTTTGTTGAATCTGACGTGTCGTGTTGGTAAAAGCCCACGGTAGACAATAAAGTAAGAAAAAATTTACCACAAGCATACAAATATGTAGGATAAGAACCAATGTTTGGCTGGAAACTGATCTTCAGTTCAAGTCTTTAGTCTTCTGCAGTCATCTTTACAGCTCCATTCATCTTATTACCCGGTCAGATCATCTTCCCTGTTCCTGCTGAGGAAAACATCTCCCCAACCTGAATGTCATGGCGTCTTGTTCGGGGTGATGTAAAGTGTCGGTTTTACACCACATACAAGGGTTTGCATGTGACCCAAACGGGCCAGTGCTGATCTCTGTTTACAGATTCTGTGACTTCTGAAGATGACCGGATATCATGATAAAAAAGTTAAGCTACACTTTTCAGATTTCTGTTTGTAAAAAGTCTGGAAGATTACATTTGATGTTTTGTGACCTTCACACTTCTGCACAACGTCATGCTGTTTTATCAAGTCAAATGTTTCATTAAATAAACGGAATGGGTTTTAATGATTAATCACTTTGCAAAGCACTGCGAAAATGTGTCAAGTGGCATCTCAGTAAAACCCAGTAATTCTAACTTTAATAAGTCTCAGACACTAATTGGAAACATATATATATATATATATATATATATA